TTTATTATTTCTAGTTTACAGTAATGTAACTGAGAGCATAATCAGCCCTTCAACGTTTGAAATAGTTATATTATTTTTATGTTTTGTGATTGTCAAAGAAAGGAAATACAATAGCACAGAAAATAGAAAAATGAAAGTAAACACCTTCTGAAACAAGGAGCATGTTGCAGTTATGATATGGGTAGGGCTAGACATTTCTGCACTCTTCTGGGCAAATATTTCTCAATTTTTCAGTGCAAAATTAATTTTGTGTTTTAAACTTAAATATTGATGCATATAGTATGGTTTTATATTCCAGGTTTTGTTAATAAAAGTACAAAATAAAGGACTATACAGAATCTAATTTTTACCATAGTCTTTCACTTAAGGTTCAGTGGAAGAGTTTATTTTCTCTGAAACTCTAACATATACAAATTTACTGTACTTTTCTTGTAGTAGAAGGAGAAAAAAAACCCCAAAACATTCTTTCCCCAAGTAATTTATTGCCACTTTTAAGATTTTCTTATAGTGTGGCTCACGGGTGATACCATTATCTTTCAGTATCAAGAGGCCAACCATGTTCTACAACTTGTCTGCTTTTCCAAGGGAGGTAATAAATGAATCGAGGTGCTTAGATGCTATGATATTATGCATTTGTTTGGGGGTTTTTTTGTGGTTTGTGTTTTTTTTTTTTTTATTATGGTGTTCAGAACTCTAGAATAAAAATTTCATAGAACTGTTTGACAATAGTAAGGAATAGTGTACCGAAAGTCGTTAAAACTGAGGGAATTTTTATGACTGAACCTAAATGGCTACTGAAAAAAATAGAGCAGAATGAAATTAAGCAGTAATTAGTCAAGAAAAAGTAAGGAGTTGAAATAAAAGTTATTTACATCTGTGTGTATTGTATCAGTACAGACAAATTTCTTGCATATGTTTAAAATAGATTTGTTTCTTCCATCCTTTAAGGAACATTTACACATTCTTTTTGAACCCTTTTGCTTCACCTGTGAAACACTCTCCTAAGATTGTGTGAACCATTGCTGATTTTTGGGGGGTGAGGGAATAACCCAAGGACTGTGTTTTAAGTAATGACTCTAACATAGTAGAGAACTAGAAACATACACAGAATATACCTGCAAGGTAACTGCTAGGTCTTAGTTTCCGTGTTTGTAAGGCAGAATTAAGACGACAAGTCTGTCATTTGTTACAGGCTGTAGAGTCAGTCAGTATCAGAGACGGTATTTCTTTATATAAAACCTAGAATCGTGCATTGTTTAATAAATAGCAATAGCTGATCTCAAAGCTGTCTTTGTTCTGTCCCTTTCTGAACGCCAACGTGTTTCTTCAAAGGAAGGCTTTGCCCCATTGAGCTCTTGCCAATGTCAATAGCAGCAGAATCCCAAACTCACTGCATTCCTTTGCAAATGCCCCCTCAAGCCAGTCCCTCTTTTCCAATATCTCAGCAGGTCTGTGTAAAAACTGTTAAAATAATACTAATCACATGCAGCACTTACAAAATTGGTAAATGAATTGTTAATCTTTATTGTCATTTTCACTTAGCTAAGACTGAAATAACATGAAATGTGATATCCTCGCTCTTTTTCCATCTCTGAGTATTCCTGTTTGTGTGTGATGGATATCTGTTGTTAGCTTATTTTCATGGGACTCTTGGCACTGGGAGTCAAGGGGAGGAGATGATTCTGGAGAAAAGATGATGCAACTTTACTTACACAGTTCATTTCCTTAATCTGTCATGAATTAGAAGATGAGTTTACAGGCCGTGATAAATGGATCCCTAAGCACCTTCTTGGTGTCTCTGGTTTTTTTCTCTCTCTGGAGCTCACCTTTATTCTCATCACTGAAGATAATAACCTTTTCTCACACCACTGCAAAGATGTTAAAACCCAGTAACAGCAGTTTCAGAGCACACAGAGCAGTGCTAAGTTTCAAAATTATTAAAAGGGAGGGGTGGGGGGTGGAGGCAGACAGGCAGACTCTGCACTGCAACCTCTAACCTAAAATAAAACTTTCTAAACTTGTAATGTAAAAATTAGATGGGTCTTCCTTCATTAAACAGCATTCTCTTAACTAGTGATTTTACAAACCTAAACCAAGTGCAATGTGTCATGCAATTTATGGATCTTAGTACCTGCCATAAAGTATTTTATGATGGCTGCATTCTGTGTTATTAGTAGCTGTCTTTTTCTGCAGCCATTGGTGTTTGATAATAGTCTTAAAACACCCAAAATTACTTACCTGCAAGCAACATTCCCGATAGTCCCTGTTGACAGTTTGAATAAGTTTAGTGCCCTTTTGTTGTACTTTACCTTCAAAACAAACTGATTGAACCATCAATAGCTCCTGAAAGCTGACAGAGGCATGTCATCTGGGCTAACCCTCTGATAGTAGGTTATCTGTGGGAGTTAACCTTCCTGCATTGTTAACTGAAATGTTTTATGTACTATGCAACTTTAGGATACTGCTGTGATAACCTTAGTAACTAAGTCATACATCACAGTAAAGAGATTTTGTGCAACAAATAACCCGGGATTAAATTTACAAGGGTTGAATTGATATTGTAAAGTGCTCATTCCAGGGCTTTGGTAATCCTTTCCTGTATTTTTTATGGCAAACTTGTGTTACATTTAGATTGAAGCTGCATCTTCATATTTCTAGATAAAATATATCCAGCAAGCTTGATGCTTTTCCTCAGCCCTTTAATAAAGAAGTATTGTATTATTTTCATACTTAGTATGAAAGGAATTTAATAAAAGGAATATGAATAAATGGGATTGTATTTTGAATCACCTTTTAAAAGAATTAATTGCTGATTTACCTTTGTTCTCCTGGTGGGATAACCTTTATGGTACTTACTTTGCAATATTTGCTCTCCTTAAGAAGTGCAAGCAAACCTGGGACTGGTGGTGTAGTTTGCTGTTGAGTTTACGTGGGTAAGGTGGTTGGTTTTGGTTTTGGAACTGGCAAGTACTGGTGCTAATTCTGTTTTTTGAAGTGCAGTCAGGATGCCTTAAAAATACAAAAATACATTTGTATCAAGGAATGCTATTATAATTTTAAGCTCTTTCGAAATGATTGAGAGACTGACATTAGGGCTGTGATCCAAAGTCAGCATAGATGACAGTGCTGTCTTAGTCTGTTGTCATTTTTGTTGCAGCCTGCTTTTCAATGGCATATTTCATTCCATCATTAAACATTTGCTGATTTTCTAATACTGATATTTTCTTCACCTGAATATTCATCTTTTCTCACCCTACACTTATTGGGTGTCTTTACTCATTTTTCGCTTCACTCTTCTTCACTCTTGGCATATTGTTTCCTTCTGTACATGTCTTCATTTGAAAGAATCTGTTGTCATTAGAGCTTTTCTGCCAGTAACGCAAGATGGATAGCTTCTCCTCCACTGAAAGATAAGGGCCAGCAAAATGCCAGGGAGGACTGGAAGGGCAGCCAGGAAAGCTGGGAGGAGTCTGGGAATGTGCCAGTCTCTTAGATCTGTAGCTGTTGTTTAATAAATTGTCTTAGGACATGTTTGGTTTTGCAAAGTGACTCTTTTTCTTCTAAGATCATTGAAAGTCATAGATTGAGGATTCACATTTAAATTGTCTGAGCATTTCAGTACTGAGCGAGTTCAGTTCACTTGTTAATGATCTACAAAGCTCTTGCTTCAGAGGAAAAGCGTACTTGATGGAAAGGTTTCTTTGCAGCATTAAATTTTGCTTCATTGTAGAAGTGGAGTCTTACAGTTTTTTTCACGTGTTTATCTGGTCTTGAGAACAGTGTTCTAAGATAACTCTTACCTTCTAGGACATATTTTTTGTGGTGTTCTTTTTCAAAATGTTATGTTATGCAGAGTTTTCCACTACTTTGATTTCTTCCTCCTGGTGTCAGAAGGGATTGGTATGATTAGGAGGTTCTCTGACTGACTGGAGTGTTATGCAAAGCAGCTAGTCATGGGGAACGTTATCAGTCACCTTTCTACACCCTGCCAGGAAAAGTCTGGCACTTCCCTCGCTTTGCAATGTCTGCTTCACATCTGGTTGACTACATGTAAATAACTTGTACTTGAGGTGGTTAGATATTTTGATTTGCCATGGCTGTGTGCCTTACTTTGTTTCTGATCTGCCATGTTGTCTCCCTCTGCAAGCAAGGAGCCAGAGGTATTCTTTTGAGGCTAAAAAGCTGCTGTACTTTAAATAAAAAGAATAAATAGAATATAGTACTGATGGGCCCTAACAAGAACCTTGAATTCTTAAAATATTTGTCATAAGAATAGCCTCTTCCTATGTGCTTCTGCTTTTAATCCTGAGCTGGGAGCCATATGCCGTAAGGACATCTTGTCTCTCTGGCAGGATCAAACTGGAATTCTCCTTCCAAATGATGCTGGTGTGAAAATGCAGTCCTGGAAAGCAGAGACCAGGAATAACTCTACATGATTTCTCTTGACAAATTCTTTTTGCTGTTCATGTGTCGCTAATGTTGCTGATCATTGTGTTTTTAGGATAAAACAATACTACAATAAAAATCTGAAGGAATTTTGGCAAATGAATACTTTATGAGAATTCTTTCAGAGAAGATACTTGGCAGTTTCCCATGTGTCAGATGGGTTTTCCCCTGCAATGTGGGATTGAATCTTTGGAATCACTCAAAAGTCCTTTTTCCATACTGGCAATTCAAAACAGTTCTCAATTTATTCTATTTCTGGGTATACCTTATACCTCACTAATACCTATAGAGAACATAAATGCTCATGTTGATAATTTTCTGATCTGTTTGATCCACCCAGTATTAAATTGTTACGGGCAGCTTACAGCAAGCTTAATTTGAGAGTGTGAAGTCTAATAACTTTTTACATAAGCTACATTGCATGAAAAAGGTCAACGGAGAGAGGAAACAAAGGCTGTTGATGTTTATTGCTGTTATTTTTTTAGTCATTTAGTCTGTGAGCATGTCTGTGTTTATTACTGGATTTTAACTGTGTACATTTTGGTCCCTGTCAGATATTTTGTCCTGCACAAATTGAGAAACCTGAAATTTCTCGATACTCGGAAAGTAACCAGGAGGGAGAAAGAAGAAGCCTTGGTAAGAGGTGCCTTCATGAAAGTGGTTAAGCCCAAGGATGCTAAGGTAGGAGAGTAAATGGAAGAAATAACAACAATGTGATTCGTTAACACTGTTTTAAAATAACTCCAAAAGCTTGGCTGCATCTTTCACTACAATAACAGGCAAAACCTTTCAAATGAAAGGACTGGTAAATGTGGTGAGGTGAGCAACAAAAGCCTTAGTAATTTTTCTGTGGTCTCATATCAAACTTTACTGTTACATCTCGTTAATGGACTGTGGTTATGTTATCAAATTTCTGGTTTCCAACCTCTGTTTCATATAACAAACTAACTAATGTGTCACTGAGCTTAAAAGAATCTTTTTACCCTGTCTAAAGATATGGAACAACTGTGTGATATGCTTTTGTGAAAGAATGCAATTTTTCTGACAAGTTGTCCCCTGCCTTGTATGTTAAACACAAATGTCTACTGCAGAGCTCGCACCTATGATGCTTATTGGCTTTTAGTGGACCAGCTGATTCTAATTTTGTATGATGTTACTTAATGTGGTGTCCTGCTAATAAGCATAGACATCATCAGAGACAGTTTCGGCAGTCTGAGCTTTTGACACCACTTGCATGAACTCTGGGCGTATTGCACACTGCTGATGCAAAGAGAATGCGAATGTGAATTCTTTGCTTCACCTTCTTTTTCCATTGTTGGTCAATAGACAGTAACAGCAATCTGAGCCTCAGAGTGTTTTAGTTCTGCAGATCTTTCGTAAAACTCCACTCAAATTTTCAGTCTGCTTGCTTTCTCTTTGCTGTTTTGTTCTCTAAAGTATACCATCAATAATTTATTGCAGATTTCCAATAATGCTGAATAATAATGTAGCCGTTATGGAAATGCACTGTTTGGTAGCGTAACAGTGTTGCTAGATAAATGCATTATCACAATTGCAATTGCAGTGCATAACAAATTAATTCAGACTGACTCATTTATAACTACTAAAATGTTAACAGTTCTGATACAAGCATAGCTTTGATATATTGTTTACCACTGCCTTTAGTTATTTCAGCTTCATATATGTAACAACTGAAATAATCGATTTCTAAGCTGTTGTGGCTATCTTATTCACAGCAAACCATCTTTGCTGAATCTGGCCAAATGTAACAGCTGAAATGTTAGATATAGCATATATATGTTGTCTTCCTTTATAATTTTTCTGTACTAATCAGATTTTGGATCTCGTGAAGTGCTTTTTTAATTTCATGACTAGTTAGATTTTTTTCATTTAAGAGACTGCTCTTTGAATTTTAAACAACTTAATAGTGTAAGAGAAGAAAAAAGTGTCTATTTCTTAAATTTGAAGTTCCTTTTCTGGATGAAACTTCTTTTTAAGTCTATAGCTAAGGGCAAATTACTTCACAAATGTAGGAATAACAGCTTTATCTTTTATATATGTAATTGAACCTTTTGTATAGTTTTGAATTATTTACCCACTAAGTCTTATGATAAAACATACATTTATTTCAGTAAATTTGCAGAAGGATCAAATTTACTGTTGTTATTGCCATACTAAAGGGGTTTTTTATTCTTTATAAATGGTTTGGTACAAATTGCTGATGGTAAAATCATTGTAAATGCTTTTCATGGCATGAATTAATGCTTCTTAAGGTGCTACAAAATTACCCTCATCATACAATATTATATACATATTACAGAAGTGGCTAATTTAAAATAAATATTAAATTGGATGCAGAACAGGTATTATAAACCTCTTAAAATTATTTTGAATTTGTGCTTTTTTCCTAGGATATTCATGCTTATAGTACACATGCATGCAAACTCTAAGTCTGAAAACACTCAAGAGTCCCCTCTGCATATATGTTTTCAGATGCAGATATGTGTGTATATAGCTACTTATAGCTATACTCAGACCATAACAAAAGCAACGTTCCCCTATATATTGCAAAGACGATGTGCACAATAGCTATACTTTCAAATTCCATCCTATGTTATATACTGATTACATAATGTTTTTTTATTCTTCAGTGTTCAGGTTTTCTGAATCTTGTGGTCTCTCTCTGTTCATCAGTTCCCCACCCCTATAGTTGTTGAGATTTTTGACCAGCTCCAGCCAAATTTAACAGACAGCTAGTATTAACATATTCTAAGCTTTCTGAAACTAGTTAGAGGAGAATATGTCTTGATCCAAACTAAGAGGAAGACTGCCACACATCCAGTATTGGTCATCAGGAAAACTCCTTAAGGAGCTGACCTAGAGATATAGGACCCTGCTGATACCGAACTTCCTAAGAATGTTTCTTTTCCTTCCCCCTAAGGTGGTAGCCACTGTGCCAGCCTATGCTTGCCAGGAGCAGAGTTGAAGTGATTAGTATTTATCTTGGTGGGTGCCACATGGAAATGTTGTTCTGCCAGATGTAGTAACAACAGTGAGCCTATCAGACTTGCTTTTTCAGAAAAAATACCCAAACGATCCGAAGTTTGGTGGCTTTTTTCCCCCATTATGATAAGCAGGAGATGGTACGGCTTATTCAGCATAAAAAGCAGACTGATGATCTAACGAGGCTGTGATGTGGGGAGTTGTTTTCATTACAGTCTTGACATGAAATACTTGGGAGAGCAAAATACCCCACCAAGAAAAAAATACACAAAATGAGAATAAAAGCAAGAAATTTCCATCTGACTAGCTTGTGTTTACTCAAATGCAAAAGTATCTAGCAATCACCAGTCATCACTAAGTCATAAATATTTTATTTTGTATAAATTTTTTTACTTTCATTTTTCCCTATTTTTTCATTTTTTTTAACAGAACACTGCGCTTTCTTGTGCTTTGCTTCATTTCATCCTTTGTTTAAAATGCATCTGTTTGTGATATGACTGTCTTACAGAAAGATGCAGTCATTTATTAGAAAACAGTTTAATGTTACAATGCAGTGTTCCATCTCACTATGTAAGTGAGCTAAACTTCATTATTCTGTTATGTTTATGTTTTCTTTTGTCAAAATATTGAATGTTGTATCATGCCTGATTTTAATAAAGATTGGGTAAGCCTGGCTGGATAAGAGGCATTGAGCCAGATGAGGAAGCCTTGTTTAATGACCAGACCATGACCTCATTTCACTGGTGTAAGTGTAGATCAAAGTGGAAGATTCCTGTCCAGTGTGAAGTGTGTTTCTGGGCATGACAGCACTTCACATCAAAAAGACAGCTCAAGAATACGACAGTCAAAATTGCTTAATTATGTCCCAGCTTTGTAATTATTCATCCCTGCTTCTACAAAGAGTACAGTTGTCATTTCTTGACATGATTATTTAAAACTGTACCCTTCTTTGCTTTATAGGTATATGAATTGTGCTTCCAACTGTTTCATCTTTAAAACTTAGAGATGCGAAACAGAATGTGATTTGAGAATACTCATTTTAAGACTTCATATTTTTACATTGCATATGATATAAGCAAACAAAATGAAATTATGATGTATCAAAGCACATCATAATTTCATAATTTAAAGGTCTATATTGATGATTATTTAATCTAGATGATAAAATGTGGATATGGCCATTATATCTAAAGTGTGTTGCTATGAATAGATACACACTATTGTAGCTCTCTCTAAATATAAATTTAATTGCTTAATGCTGGGTCAGTGCACTTGCTTTTATAAAATACATATATTTCCCACTATTTTGCAACCTGCCTGCCCCACAACTATTTTTTAGCTTACTGCATTTTTAAGGTTAACATTTTTATCAGTTTTATTTATATAGTGGCATAAGCAAGCAGTGTGTGTTTGGTCGCATGTGACAGTCTTGCAACTTATAGGACCAAATCATCAGCGGGTATACATGGATATACTTCCAAGTAACTGACTTAATATTGTGTTGAGTTATTCTGCTTTCTCGCAACTTTACCAAGAGCATCTTGTCCACTGGGTGGGTCTAAAGGGAAACTCTGTACAACAAAAGATGGCAGTATAGGTGTTTTGAATTTTTTTTCCTCCTCAGATGCGTTGTGTTCATCACAAGTTATAATTATAAAACCTGACATAGCATTTGTTCCCTAAGGAACTAAGATGGAGACACTTAAGCAGAAAGGCAAGTCTAATATCTGCATTTCATGTAACAAGTGTATGTGATTCTTGCTCACACTGTCACTTGGAGGGTAGAAGGAGATTATTTTATTATGATAGGAAGAGTAAATATTTAGGCAGTACAGCTTAAGAAATAAGGTGAGCTAAATCGACAGTGTTGCTTTCGGATCATTGTCAGTATTCTTGTGTTTAAGCTCATAGGAAAAGTTCATTATCAAAGTGACCAGTGCTGATTTATGCTTTTTCAAATTCTGTTGAAATCTGATGAGGCAGTAGGAGTGATTTTAGTAATTTCTGTCCTTCGCTATTTAACAAAAATCATATTTTTCTTTAATAGGTATATCCTATCTGCTTCTAAGAATTTAGGCAAGACATTTTTGCTAATGCATCTCATGGACCTATTTCCCCCTCCCTAAATTAGGAAAATAAGGCTGGTTTTAAAAAGTGAGTAGAAGATGACAGATAAACCTTCGGAGAACATCTGCATTGCTCACAATTTTTATCCTTTTACCAGCACCATTGTGTAGAGATCTTGGCTTCTGAACTTAGAGCATTTGTGTGACTGGGAAGTTATATACTAGATTAATAAGCAGAAAGCTGGTAATTCATCAAATGGCTAATGGCGTTCTATAGAAGACACCTGTGAGACACTGTGGAGAATGATATGTGGACCTGCGAACGTACAGCTGCAGTATATAAAGATACAGGTCAACAAGCAGTGCTACTGTAGTTTGGGCCTTGCCTAATATGTAGGCTTTCGATGGAAAATTCAGTAATTAGCAATATGTGATAGCTTCTTTGATCTTAAAGGTCTTTTCCAACCTAAACGATTCTATGATTCTATTTCCTTTGATTATATATCTAATTAAATGTGCATATGAAGGAGAGGCATGGGCCCCATTCTTTGGTTCAAGTTAATGTGCAACAGATCCCCCTGTCTTTGCATATGATCAGTAGCAGACCAGTGT